ACAACACACAAATAGAAGGTAAAAAAAGGTTTAAATGATCAAATATGTCACCCAAATGTGTAGTTGTGTCTAATCCTGCAGTGCACTACCAGCAAAGATAGACAGTTCTGAAGTTGCAGGAATAAGAGGAAGCCAACTTAGAGCCTCAAGTTCAGTTTGGATCTTCCTATACATCTGTAAAAATCTTGAAATAGTTTTTTCCTGACTAGTAGCAGCATTTCCAGGCCCAAGCCTGCTTTGGGGGTGAGCCCTGCTCAGATTTAGCCACATTAGTCCTGAGTGTGATGACTTGGTTTTGCCTGGAGGGCAAAGGTTTTGAAACTCTATGACCTCTTAGGTGTTTATTCACGGTGTTAATAGATTTTCTTCTTAAATATCCTCATGGCCCAGAGGATATTTAAATCAGAAATACCTGTGAAAATGCATACAAATGTTTAGAAATATTTCCGAATATACTATTTGGTTTAAGTGCCATGCATATGTCTATCTTTGTAGACTATGAAATATAAATAACAATATTCACACCGAGTAAAAACCAAAAAGGTCCCGAAATCGTTCTTCTGATAGTCGTCTTCTACAAAAAGCAGTACCTTTCTGAATGTCAATAAGTGTTGCAATTAGTGATTTTCTCCAAGATGAAATACTGGCAATTACAGGAAATTCATTAGACCACCACTTACGAGCATATTTACACTGTGTAGCTTCCAATGAAAATTTTATACCATATTCTATTTCTGAGCTTTGCCTTTTCTGTTTCACATTTTGGGGTGTTGGAGGGGGAAAGGGAATGTCAGAGTGTGTTATTGTCCATGCTAAACTTCTGCAGCTGAAATTAAAGTGTTTGGAAATGCCTGAACTCCTTCTTTTCCTACTGAAATCAGCTATAATTAGAGGTAGTTCCATGAACACTGGTGGTGTTACGGTGGCACAGATTAGATGAGTCACAGACCCTCCTGCTTCCAAGACCAAACATTTGTCCTCCACAATTAATCATTGATTTCCTTTTAATTTTATTGGTTTCAGGTGCTCAACCTGTTCCTTGCCTTGCTGCTAAGCTCTTTCAGCGCTGACAACCTCTCGGCACCAGATGAGGATGGAGAGATGAACAACCTGCAGCTTGCTTTTGCTCGGATCAACAGGGGTCTTCAGTACGTGAAACACACGACATGGGATTTTTGCTGCAATGTCCTCCGGCACCCCAAGACAACGGCTGAAAAGAAGGCAATGATGAAGCTTGCTGCCCAGAACACAGGTGCCCTTAACAATTGTGTGAACAGTCATACAACATCTGAGCTTGGCAAAGACATGGAGAATCACAAAGAGAACCATGCAGAGGATGGGATAAATAAAAATGGGGAGAAACACCTAGGAATTACAGACAATGATGATTTTATGACCAATCCTGACCTCTCCATTTGTGTTCCTATTGCTGTCGGAGAGTCGGATATTGAGGAGGAAGATGAGGAGCAGAGCACCTTTACCGAAATGGAGCAGGTAGGCAACTAAAATCTTTGCTTGTTGCAGCTTATTAAGAGGGCCTTCCTTCCCACCCTTGCTCTGGATCCGTGGCTCATGATGCAAATGTCCTATGGCCTAATCCTGCCTTTGATATGTTGTTAACTTCAGAAGAAGTTACAGGTGCATATCCAAGAGCAACATTCAGTCTCCAACAAGAGGCATTCCCTTTCCTTGTATTCTTTGTGCTTGTCTAGATTAATTCTTCTAACCAGAGCAATTAAACGTTTTCTCACACAGGAGACTGGTTTTTTGTTTTTTTTTTTCCTTTCAGCTGAATCATGGGAATGTTACAGAACAAATCTTAGGTCCTCTGACTATGACAGGGGATTTTCTCAGTGTGCAAAAAATGGGTAATGGCTCAGTTTGATTTGTGCAGTAAGAATTGAGGGCTAGGCAGTTCTCTTAAAAATACAATGAGGCAGAGGCTGATATGACAAAGCACCAAAGAAAGGAAGAAGATATGTAATCGCATGTATTCAGACAGGGAAAATAGCTATGTGCTTGTTCTTTGGTGTGACATGGCAGATTTTTGTATTCCCCAGAGCACCCAGTAGTAAAGGCTGAAAAATTCTGTGTGGTTCAAAGTGTTACTGTAAAATGGAGAAGAAAAATCTTCACGGGAATGCTTTTCTTTCTCTCTTTCTCTCCCTCTCCCCTTTCTACCAGCTTTATCTCTTGGCTCCACGCACCATATCTAGTTAATGTTTTCCAGACCCTCCAGCCTTGATCCAGCCGGGATCCCTGATCCCTCAGTGGAAGGGAAGCAAGTTTTGAAGCAAAACTGTCCTTAGAGAAGGGCTGCCCTAAAAAAGCCCTGAGGCATTACTCTGTGTCAGGAGGTGGGCTGCTAAACATTAATTTCTCCTGCTTCACTGAGGAAATCTTCTCAGTGTTAGTGCATCTGCTCACCAGCAAGTCTTACACATTGACCATGCCCTCAGGCAGCTGAAGGGCAAGGGGCCAGAAAATGTTATCATCAAGCCCCACTGCCCAAATAGGCACCCAGGCAACAAAAAAAGGAGTCTGAAATTTTCGGTAAACACTTTTTGGGACATTTTTGTGTCTTTTTTAAGGAATACTTTTATTGAAATGACTTGTGGATCAGTGTGGTTAGCATGGATAATATCTACTTTTTCTTTCTCCTCTTCTATTCCCAGTGTTGTATTAGTTAAACCTACAAGCAGACTACACTTGAAAAGTAAAACGTGAATATAGTACGCGGGTTTCTTAGTATTAGCCAATCTGCAAATACTGACTAATATAAATGCATGGAGGGTTTGGGATTTGAACTGTACCTTAAATGTACAGAAATGCGGTTTTCTATTCAGCTGCACAATATGTCCATGCAGGTGTTGGTGTGTATATTGGTAGATGGAAGAAGTAGCCGTCCATTTTATGCTGTAAGGCAAGTAAATGCGGAATTAGATCTCTAGTGAGATCTATTAGAGTCATGAGGGAGAGAACTGATGTAGAAAAATAGGCATTTTAGTGAAACGGAATATTATGTAGAAAAGTTTATCTGAAAATATTAAGAAAACTTCTTCAAATTGTTTCAATAATATTGAAAAATTATCATATGTAATATAAATATCGAGGATTCAGAGTGAAACAAAATAGGAGGAAACAAAACTCACTAGGAGAAGCGGATGAAAATACTGTTCTCACATTGTATGTTTTCATGAAATTATCAATAAATGTTAGGGTAATGTTGTCACATTACCACAACACATTTGGATTGCAGTGAGATGATGTAGTTCACTGCTAGCATGTGCATTAAATAGAAGGCATGGAGTCGAGAAATGTGTTCATTAGCTTTGTCGTTAGTGTTTTCCCAGCTTTGACAAACAGCTGCTGCAGGTCACTGCCGTTCCCCTGTGCATGGCCCTGATCAATAGTTTTCAACCTTTGTCCACAGGCCTGAGGGGTCTATAGCTGAAAAGGCCCAAACAAGAAAGGAGTTCATAAATCCAGCAAACAATTTTATCACATTTCTAGAGAGGAAAACGTGTGCAGAGGGGGTTCCAACTCAAAGACTCAAAATGCATTGGCGTAATAAATAAGCAAAAATAGGAAGAAGTTCAACAGCAGAAAGGATCAGTGTGTAATAAGCTTTGCATTTGCTTTCCTGCAAAACCCTAATAAATTTACACAGCTGTAAATGTCCCCATAAGGAGCAGAGCCATGAGAAAACAGATCCCAAACGATGCAAAGGTATGTCATTTTTAATGGTGCCCATTCCAAAGACTTATGATCTCTGGACCCACACAAACCTCTCTGGATCAACAAGTAGGTTACTGCAGAAGATATTACTGCACCTGGAGGTCAGCATGAAATCCCAGATCCCTGGATATAGACCTGTGAGCATTACAGCTTGCTAACCTTTGTACAAGGGCAGCCCTGTGGGACTCTGGGGAATAAAATTCCCCATTCACTCCCAGAAGCTTTAATCCTGCAAGCCCTGACTCCATGGGGGTCGTTACGTCCTTCCCTCCGGAACGGCCGCAGAAACCACAGCCGAGCTCTCAATGGCAGAACAACATGAGCAAGAGCAAAATTTACATGATTGCACTGAAAGAGCACAATTACGGTGAAGTATCTTTTTGTGTGGAGGGCATCGTAGAAAAACGAAACAAGAGCTACCAAGGGTACACTAAACATTCAAATCTATTCTAACTTTCCCCTAATTATAATCCATATTTTTACATATTTAAATATTTTAGCATGTACAAAGAGAATGTGTATGTACATTTACTTCTCAGGAGAAGACAATGTACCCGGCTTCACTTTAAAGTTGTTGGCTGACCTGGAATTTAGCAGCCCGTCGGCAACGTTGCCAGAAACTGCCTTCCTCCTCATGCATGCAGATTTTGGTGCAATAGCATGGGAGAAGAGGCAAAAGGAGATGCATAAACAGGGACTATATGCACGCATGCCTCTCAAGCATGTGACTAGGCAAACCTACACGATCCTTACACATCCTTTACACTTTCTCTGTCGGTTGAAGATCCTAGACCATATTCTGTTCATCACATGTTCACATCAGTCCAGACCCATCCGTCATGACAGAGAGACTAAAGGGAGGCTGGTCTCAAGCAGAACCACAAAGTTGTTGATCCTGATGGGGTATTTTAGGGTGATGATCAGCTCAGCTTACAGCTCCTGAACCAATGTCCGGCTCCTCCCAGAAAGTCCCAAAACTACTCTGAAGTAAGCCGTTGTGGCTATGAGAAATGGGCCCCACAGCTTTACACACAGCCATTCGAAATTTCAGATTATGAGAAACCTTTCTGTGCACATTTTCCTCTACTAGAAATGTCTAAGTGTGAATTTCAGCCGCCATCTCTATTATCAAAGTTTACGCTGGCAGCAGCCATCTTCCTGAGAGCTGCCAATTTGTGGCACTGTCATTGAGAATGTTTCGAATAAGCGAGACCACACGATAGCTTCTAAATCTCCTTTGATTACTGAGATGCAAGCGAGATACTCTGCCAGCTCAGAGAGCCAGGAGACACATGCCTGTAGCTGACACATATGGTGAAAGGATCAGAAGAAAAAGCTGAACAATAAAAGCCAGCACAGGTGCAAAAAGCTGGCAGAAGAGGAGTGAGGCTGAGAAGGGTCCACCTTGAACTTAATTCATCTTTATTGTTTGATATGTGTATTGATGGCAGTCACTGCAATGTTTTTGCTAAGGGTTTTACCTAACCCCCTGCCTTGCTCTTCTTATAGCGCTGGAGAAGTCTCTCCTTATCAGTCCGCAAGATTTCTTCAGGATTTGATGAGAAGTTTAATCTTACAATGAGAATAAGAATAATCACCACAAAAATATCGTACATCCAGTCATACTTTGGACATGGTTTCCAATTAACCTTCTATTACATTAAAAGTCTTCCATTTTTCCTCTGTCTTTGAGATGTATGACCTAAATACAGGTTGTCCTAGCAGGAAAACAGCTCCCAAAAGCTGAGCAGCAACCACAGCAACATGCTGGTTGCATCTTCTCAAGGTTCTTTTGGGTTCTCATTTTGGCTTCCTAAATGATTAGAATGTGCAAATTATTTTCTTGAACCTCTGTAGAGTGTCTTGTAATTGCTTGTAAAGACCATCTTTTCATACGCAACATCAAATTTCAGTTTCTGAAAGAGTACAAACCTGATTATGGGCACAGTAAGGTGATGGACCAATTCAGCGCGCACAGTCCAGTCCACCTGATACAGAGGATCCTACCAGAACTCACCTGCAATTTAACTATGCTGAAAGTTTCATATATCAGAGGGATTTGTACCATTTACGTTGGACATAGAAGTCCAAAGCTTAAATCTTAAAAATTCCTGCTTTAGTATTTCTTAACCTTCAAGGTGCCCACAGCTGTAGCCCAGAACCACGCGTGCCTTTTCCAGTGATATTACTTTGTGGTTCAGAGGAATCCCGTGTTAAACTAACAGGAGGTTCCAGATGAGTAATGCTGGGTGTCCTGAATCAGTCCCCAAAGTAGGATGTCCTGTACGTATGCCATTGAACTCTGTCTTGTTTCTATTACTCCAGGCCTCAGCAACATCCAGGTCTTTCTGCAATGGTATCTGGAGCCTTCTCTGGATTGATGAGTTCCTACAGTTGGCAAAATTCATTAGTACAACCTCAGAAAATGGATTTACCCTTTCCTTGTTTTTTGAGTCAGCCCAACAAGGCTGTTATTGCTTTCTCACCCTTCTTAAATTTAATTACTTCATGTTCTGCCTTACTCAAACTACTGCCCTTGACTTGATCTGTCTGTAGCATGCCACTGAGAAGAAAATCCATGCTGTGGTGGCTCGTGGCTCTTGGCCACATCTCACATTCGCCCCCTCTGCAGTGGCAGAGCCAGGCATGGATGCTGCTTTCCACAGAGATAAGACCTTTGTATTTTCACATGCAGCGCGGTGCCGAGCCAGCAGCACTTGCCTGCTTGTCTTCAGAAAATGCCATTATTGATTTGT